AAGGCATCTATGGCCCTCTCGTTTGTCGGTGCGTATCGCTCTGTTGAGAGTGCTTCTGCTTCCCAAGTTTTCACGGCGGCGAGAAGACCGTCGGAGTCAGGGGGTGACTTTTGACCTACGAACGATACGGTACCGCAGTGGACTCCTGCGGCATCCATGGCTTTGTCGTCATTTACACCATTTTCAGACTTGAAGCTGACTTCTGCCGCTGAAGCTCCGGCTGCGTAAAAGATATCGGCATACGGAAGCCGTACTGCTCTATCGACGGGGACGGACCAATCTGGAATCCAGGTAGGCCCGTCAATTTCGCGAGCGTCGATGTTGCAACGGTCAAGGAAGTCCAGCCTCTCCAGACACTCGAGATATGCCTTACAGAACTGGCCATACACCTTCTCAACTGGCAGGGAATAGTCCGGGGTGATACGCTCCCTGATCGCCGCCGGAGCAGCCCCCAATGCTCCGTAGATCTTATCTCGGGGGTTCGCGCACCCCTTCCAGTTCAGAGTCTGCAGCTCTCGAAAGAACGGCTGGTTGGAGAATGGCAGCATCACCTCGACAGCGTCAAGAATCAGCCCGCGCACCTCGTTGCTCGGAAGGAACTTCTTGTCGCTGGCACAAAAGATTGCGCGACGGAACAGAGAGAGCGAGATGCTGTCGGGGCCGCATAGCATGAAAGAGCGCTCATCAGCTAGACGAACCTCTTGCCATACCCAAAGACGCTCGAACCAGGAACGCTGCAACAGGTTCGTGATAGACCGCCAGGTCTGCTCGTCGTATGGAAGCGGCACCGAAGCGCGAGCCAGCTCCGGGTTACTGCAACCGGGCGGATTCGTCCTCCACGCCCCGCGCTCGGTGTAGACGGCCTGCTCGCCGAGATGCCGCAGAGCAGCCATGGCGATCTTGCTGTCCTCCCTCTCCGGCCCCAGCCAGACGACGACGTGACTTGCACGGCGGTAGATGTCGCACATGATGTGGACCTGCCTATTTCGCTCCTCGAGATCGGTCTGATTGATGCACAGCGCGTCGATCCACATGCGTCTTGGAATATCGCGGTATCGCAGGTGACGAAGGGCCGCGGCGAGGTTCGGCCTGATGCTGAGGCTCGACGAGGCCGCGCCCGTGGACGGGGCTGTTGGTTCTAGGACGAGAGCATCTTCTTCGCTGCCTTCAGGGGCCCAGACGTACGATAGACCTTCATACTCGAGCTTGTTGTCGTCGAAGCTCACGTTTGGGTCGACGCCCGTCACGGGGTGCAGCCAGGATGTCTCATAGGGCTCTTCTGGTTTGTAATCCTTGATACGCTCGAAGATGAAGCGACCATCGAGACAGACCCGGACGATCCAGTCTGATGGAAGGGTCTTTTGGATCTCATCGCGACTTGGGGGCAATCTGATTGCGGAAGGCCGCCGCGGTGCTAGAGCGACATGATGAAACTTGATGCGGATTCTCTCTTGGAAAGTACCGGGCAGAAGCTCGACTACGCGGATCTCCTTTGCGGTCCAGTCAAGGTCTCGATACTGGTATCTTGGTTTATCAACTGGACTCTCCATCTTGAAAGAATTCGGACAAGGTCTGGCCGGTGGAATTGCGTGATCAAGAAAAGACCCGAGAGCTTAGGCGGCAGCAAGGAGAAATAGTTGATCGCTTGGCTGGCCTCAAGCAGCACAGGGTATTGTATGCGGCATGCTGTGATCAATCACGACAACGAGGCAGGCTGCCCTTCAGTGAAGAGGGGGTAGATACACTTTGCATGCCCTCTCATGCAGCTAGCAGCGATCCTTCGCAGCCTGCATATCACCACCTCAATTCGAGATGGTTTGGCCAATGGATGGCTTCCCCCAAAGTCTTGTTTTGTTAACTAAGAAATCAGTCAACTGCACAACGTTGGGCTGGAGCATTCTAGCGCACCATGCATCGTTCGGTAGCGACTGCTGCAGTAAGCACTATGCACTGATGCAGCCACAACAGTTGGCACAAGGCAGGCTTCAGTCACCGGATCAAAGTCTCCAGCGAGATGTATGCATTGGCGGCCTCTAAAGACACTGCGAATCTCTACTAAGACCTATGGCCTCAACTGTTGTTTATCATTGACGAACAACTACTGGAAACTCATTCTTCTACTCCAGAAGACCTGTCTTCGTGTAAGTTGAGACTGCCCAGACCACGTATTTGTCTGCCTGTTGGGTGGTTGGTCACATGCAATGGCGCCGAATTTGACGCCCGTTTACATTCGTTTTCAAAATAGAAAAAGTTATCGACGCCTTCGTGTCTCTTTGATCCTTTTCCCAGACAGTCGAAACTGCCTGAGGTGCGGGCTCCCTCTTTTTCCGAATTTGTTATTAAGCCCTCCAAGCGACAAGCTACCGAGACATGATCGGATCTGCGTTCTCAAACCATGATGCCTCACGCGGGGGATGACTTACACCAACGCAAGCCATGTCACCTCGGACGACGCAGGAAAGCTTGGCAAAGAGAGCACGAGAACGAGAAGCGTATTCTCAATACGCGCATGGTCAAGTTATCAATTTCCATTTCACCAGTCTCCATAGTGCCGATCTAAGACAAGCATTCACAGGAGCGGGCTTGTTATTCTACCCACAGAACCCTATACAGTAGGGTGTCAAAAGTTCGTGTACACCCTCCCAGTGCGTCACCTATAGCCCACTAACTACGTCTCTTTATTACTATAAATATTTTTCTAACTTAAGTATAAATAATATAATTTAAAATTTTAGTAGAATACTTTAGTATATAAAGTATATAAAACTATTTTTTTATATATTTTAAAATACGTTATATTAGTACTTTATACTATAATATAAAAATAAAATATAAAATAAAAGAAATTTACTAGGAAGTACAGTGCTATTCGCACTTAAAAGGCCCTATAATCCACTATAATAAAAATCTCTTAAAACCTATTTTTTAAAAGACTTATTTAACGCTTTAATAATTAAGAAAAACATAGTGCAACTTAGGTATATACTAGTATAATAGCTAATTAGTTATATAGTAATTTTTAATCTCTTTTTCCTATTATATTTAACTTTTTATACGCTGTTGAAAAGTAGTACTTTTGCGGGATACTGTGCGCTGCACACGAACCTTTGACACCCCACTGTAGCTAGGCTAGTAGCCAGCCCGCCGCCAAATGCGGACCGAAGATGAGATTTCAACAACTACAACAAGTTGGAGACAGTAATGAGTGATACAGTGCACCGTCCTCGACAGCTTCATTCTCGCCTTCAGAATGAGGCTAAAAGGGGGAGGCCAGTGCCGGCGGGGCAGTTCCGAGGGTTCTTAAGCCAAGCGGAAGTAGCGGCCTGGATGGAGCTTCGTGTCATGCCAGTGCAGCATGCGTTTTTCGCAACCGTAAAGCCGGAAGCCCGGTTGCCGGCAGGTTGTGACACTGAACGGCTCCATAAGTACGGAGCACTCCGTACGGATAGAATGTATCGTATTACCTGAAAGTAAGTTTAATTGCCAACTCCTGTATGTTGTGGAACAGACCCAGATCCAGCTACTGTATATGATAACTTGCGATGGAACTTCGGAACATGCCCGCGCTGAGCAGATATGCACCAGACGGATTGGTCTTCGGCGTTCTGAGCCTCCTGCTGAAAATGGAGTCAGTTGCGCCTCATTGCTATCTGTAGAAATTGAAGAGTATTCAGACGATCTTCCAGCAACACATCTTTCAAGTTGGATCAGACCACCAATCGCAATCTTTCGTCCTGAAGCGCTCAGCCCTAGCCTAAGGCTTTCCACACTGAGAGCCCTAACCTTGGCTTTCTTGGGCTGATTACCGCGTACTTACAAGCATTTTGACTCTGGGCTGGTCCGCATCACTCAAAATTAGCCCTGACTCGTTACCGGGCCGCCTAACAAGGGCTCAGCCTCCAGCAGGAGTCAGGGCTTCAATTTCAGGGGCCTGTGTCATGGTCTACCTATCGTACGGGGTACGGTGGCACCCCACTGTACCTCCAGGAGAATGAGTTAGCTGAGCAGCCCATCCGTACGGGCATGGGGGGGTCATAGTCAGCGATAGCACATAAAGTCAATGAGTTTGCAGTACAAGCGGACAATGACTGTACTGGAGCAGTAATCGACAAAATTGTTACAATTTTCATGGCGTACTTTTCTACCCAATTTCGGCAATGCTTTCCACTAGGATTGTAATGCATTTGTATCTAAAGTTTCAATTCCACTTTTCAACCCTAGTTCACCTCCAAACGAGGTCCTCGTACAAGGTAAGAGGCAATTCCCTGTAGCCGAGCATGTGGTCTACATTGAGGACCCATGAGACTTACATATAGTAGATTAACCTTTCACACACCTCCGATAAATGACTTCAACGTTGTATGCTCAACTGATGTCCACGCCCATTGACAAGTCCCATGCATCAGTCAAGGGTGTATGACTGCGATCTTTCGGTGGGAGTTTGCCGTCATAGCCGATATCGCCGTCACGATCTCTGTTCGTGCGGTTGCGTACGTGGCAGAGGAAGAGATTGGGATAATAGTGTAATACTTCCGGAGCTCGCGGGGTCCTCTTGTATCCGAGTTGACCGCCTCCCCCCCGCCCCCTTCTCGGGTGATATTATAGCCGCAAAATTGAATGATTCGTGCGCTCGACTAGGTCTTCTGTTGCAATATGCAAAAGTGATTTTGGTTGGGTGAGAATGGCCTAAGAAGCCATCATTAATCTAGGCTCCTTGTTGGGCCCATCAGCGAGCCTTCATGTCCTTGGCCTCAACTCCTTGACGACAGTCTAGCGACATGAGTATGTTTGATCAATATTCAGGTATTTACCCCCACGGGAAAACTACAAGAAGACGCAGGCTCCAGTATCAACATTAGAAATGTCCATCGCCCAAGCAGCTTTCCATGCCACTCCGCTAGGGACAATTTTTCAAACCAAAGGTGAGCAGCGCCGATGGTGCATCAAATTTGCCGGGTCCATGAAGCTGATCGTATGATACCAGAAACAACTAGCCCGCAATGAAGTTCACTGCCGCCATCTGCCTTGTTGCAGGCTATGTCAGCCTCGCTGCTGCTGCCGGTTGCCAGGTCGAGCTCCTTAACATTAACCAGGCAGTTGTTGGCACTGGTTGCGTGCAAATGAACTACTACGCCAACATCTACGACTCCACCAGACGCGCAGGCTACACTGTCAACGCTAATAGCAACTGCGGCCTTAGCTTCGGCAACATTCAAGTTATCCCCGATGGGTACTCTTTGCGTCAAGCAGGCTACTGTTAAGTGGAGAGGCGTCGGCATTAATCTCGATGATTCTCATGGAGAAGGTTCTTGCGTATTATATAATAAAGACATCAATTCTAGTAAAGCATTGTTTCGTTGTATGCAATCCCATCAATCCACAGTGTGTTGGCTTATTGTTGTCATCAACTCATGTCAAGATCGCTTTGCTGGCCATCAAGTTGACGGAACGAGTGCACATAGCACAACGGTTCCTACTCGCCTTCATTGTTGATTGCCATAGAATGAAGATTCCTGAAGGAATAATCGACGCTGTAGAGTCAAGTACTGTCCTCTGCTTTCTTGTCCGATCTTGCCGACGCTACTAGTAACATATGCATCGGCAGTTAACTATCTAGAAGTGAGTTGCACATCCTTAGACGCTAAAGGACTTCCCGGCCCTGAAACTCAAAATTCCCGTCATAGTAGACTTCTTTGAACTTAATTATGACATAAAGTATTGAATCCGATTTAAGCTTAACTTTAGCTTATTTGAATCAAATTCACCATTACCTTACCCCAAACAAACGCACATGAGACTTGAGTCTATGTCGGGACACTCCTATACAGTCCGAAAGCAACACTGCCGAATTAAATCCGCCGACCTACCTTATGCTCAGTATTATGTGCAAACATCTTTTTTCTTGGCTCAACATGTAAGGTAATGCATACTCTTTCTCAGGCTTAACGGATGTCATCCTAGTAACGTGATTGATGGGCGGCTTGGAAGGCCGGATCATCATCTTGTCCTGGCTCCTCGTATGCATCTTTCACGGTTTGCCATCCCACCTCACAAGATCCACTCAACACTCAAAATCGGGACACTTTGCGGGATACCGTCTGATTGCGAACTTCACAATTGCGAGAATTTCCCTGCTTGTCTCAGTCAAATGTGTTTGCGCTTAGTGCTTGGAGCTATCATTGAACTAGAGCAGCGTTTTGGGCACTGATTGTATTGCAGCTTCTCTTCGTTGATTCATTGCTACCGGTTCTCTCTTGCTTAGACTTCAAGGCCGCTCTCAAGAGAAAGGCCAGCGGGCATACTTCTGCAGGCCAGGCTGCAACATCCCTACTTGATTATCGCCATAGTAAAGGATCTTGGCTCAGGCGTCTGGAGACATCGTATCCTAGCTTCATGTTGTTTAAGGTCTTCTCTGGTTCGAATTATGATGACACATGATTATATGTATTCACTTCTACATAGTACCACCCGGGCATGGACTTGCGAGCTCAAGACCTTGAGATAGAGGGTCACCTGCGGCCGTTTGGTTTGGTTGGGAAGCCTGGCTTGACTGCGGGTAACTCTCAGAGGACTGCAGGTGTGCATGACTCTTGCCCCGGTTACGGCACGGTCGAGCAAATAGAGTGTTCCTCTTCCGCAAATGCATCTTGCTGAAGTGGCTCCTCTGCATTGATATCGTCATTAGTGAAGAGTTCATAGAAGAGGCCACTGGAGCTGAATAGGACAATGTCTCCGGGTGGATGCTTGAAAGGGCGCGGAGAACTCACCATGTTATCCAACCGGCTGAACAGCCTGCCACATAATGCGTAGGGGCATGGAATGCTTGGTTTGTGAGAACGAAGATGACGCCTATAGTCCTTGGGGTATGCGAATCCAATACCGGATGACGCACATTCGGGGCGCGGACAGAAGAAAGTCTTGGCGTGTGTTGAATGGTGCTTCCGAAGGTCACAGGCACGCTCAAACACAGCGAGGGATCGGCATGCAGCGTAGCTGCACCGCCAGTCACCATTTTCATCTTGAAAGCCTATCTGGTAAACGTCCTGAGGGACCCAGCTGTCGTCGACGTCCGTTGGTTCGGAGCTGTTCGTCTCGCTCGGACTGGGTTGAATATCGCTAGTAGCAGCGTGAAACCGGTCGTCAGACAGAGCAGTCATGCTCTCGTTCCAACCCGCGGTGTACGTTGTGGGTGATGTATCGAAAGAGAAATCTAGCCCTGGGTCTAAGTCACCCCCTGGCGTGGTAGGAAGTTGATGAGTGATGTCGTGAGTCCCTCCAACTGTATCGTAAGTGGTGGCGAGGTTGCTGATAGTAAGACTGTGGTGCGTGGCCGTATGCATTACGTTCATCAGACCAGATGTTTCTACGTTGACCAAGCTTTGCGGCTCAGGCAGTGTGTCCAGGCCAGACGCCATGGTAGTCTGAAAATCGAAGTGTCGGTCAGATGCATCATCTCTCTGTACTCGAGTAAGTCTCGCCGTTACGAGTAAGATCAGCAGTACGTACAATTGTATCCGGAAACTCTCCATCATTGAAAGAGAATGTAGCAGCAAAGTAGTGGTATTCGTTTAGAAATGACGCGTCGAACATGGTGAAATAGAAGATTTTGTCCCGTGGAAGATCCGTATCAACGTGAAAAGTTGCTTCTACAGCACGGCGTAGTAAGAAGAGGCTGGTTTACTTGGAGGCACTCGACCAGATAAATGTTTAACGGCATTTTGGTTGAAGATCTCTCTTAGTTCCTTGGTTTGCGAGTCATTGCAAGCAGGGCCTTTTGTTGATGAGCATGGAGGAAGAATCACGAGGGCCAGGTTTCGCGGCATTCCCGTCAGATGAGTCGCGTGCCGTAGACGAAATACAGCTGTAACTTAAGACTGGCAATTGATAGGATGAGCGGCCTCCGTCAAGGGGCTCCGAGATCGAGTAAACAATTGGTTGGCTTGGTTCAATCTAATTATCAAGGACTTGAAGTATCCGTATCTACGAGCCGTAATCGGGGTTATGGAAACCCGCCCCTATGGTTCAACAACGATGGAAGATGATCGGCGAGAATAAGCTTTGCTGGCGTCAAACCATGATATTGAGTCAATTTGCTGCCTGATTTAATTAAATAACCTAAGCTCTCAATCCATCTACCGCGGTGCCTAGCGTCAAAATACCACGTTACAAAATCCTCAGCCATGAGCTTTGCAAACGTATGGTAATTCTAGGGTATTAGACTGACTGCCCAGATCCAGGTTACTTTCTGCCTTGTCACATTGAGGCTGTTAGTGGGAATCCCGTATATCTCTCATCGTGGGAGACACGGGCTGAAGTCCGCAGATAATGAACATTGATGAAAGTCTGAACACCGTGGGGCATCTCGCCATCACACTAAAGAGCCAAGGAATGCTCTGATTCTTTTGCGACCTCTGTTCCATCAGATTGGAGTTACTTGGGGCTTGTGCTCTCTGGCATAGAGAGAAGGACGCTTTTAGGGGTATCAGGGGTCTAGCCTTGATAATCCTCCTTTCGAGAGGACTTGATGCGACTTTTGGCCTTTCGTCTCTTGGTTAAGGATGACCGCAGAACTTTTGACATGCGGTCACCTCCGCCGATCTCTATTATAATTTCTATGGCGTAGGTTCACCTGTAACTTTGTGGTTGATTGTAGAGAAATGACTATAGTAGACAATCCTGTCACCGCTGCGGTTCGAGGATTTACGAGTTGCTACGGGAGGTAGGCTAGCCACCTGCTTCAGCGAATCCGGACACCAGTTTTTGCTGTTCGAAACCAACCTGATAGTCATTCTACCGCGTCATTCCGCGAGACCACGCTGGCCGGTTCTAATTATCATGTGGCGATTGATGATGCAATCGAGTAAGTAAACACACTGGCACGTCCCGAACTGTCGAGGAGACGGCGTGTCGCAAGATGAGGGGTATTGCACGCCTAAGTATGGCAGGTCGCAACAGAGCTCCTAAGCCAGAACTACCTAGATGGGTGAAGCGTAGAAACAGTGCTTCTTGAAGTTGAAAAGCATGGCAAAATACAACGCAGAGAGGTGTTCCGTGACTCGAAGCCAACAGAACCTCTAAAGGTCATTTTAGTGGCTTCAAGGGATACGCAGAGCTTATGGAGTATATGCAGGGCAACAATGCCAGAAGCTTGTCTTGTGACGTGATCAGATTGGTAGATTGTGGATGGCCGTGCCATCAACGCTATACACATTAGCCTGTCGTCTTTTCCACCTATGGCGCTGTGGAAACATGTTTGAAGCAAATAGAAAGGAGAGGCTTCAAGCAAAGAAATACACCGAGTTGTACGAGTTATTAACGATGCTTCAAGTTTGTTAGTGGAAGTGCTGTGTGCCCTGTGCCTTGATGTGTATGGAGGAATAGTCACTTGGTAATGATGCTGCTACTCTGAGAGTTGCCGTGAACAAAAAGGCGATCAAAAGCTGGGGAATCAAAAGACCTTAATGATTTCGACCCTTGCACTTGATCAATGCGCCCGGCAAGCGGAAACTGATGGATCAGCGACGCGGGTGTCTCCAGCTGCTTCATGAAGGTGGGCCGACGGAGTGCTGGCCGCCAGTATCGCGCGAATCATGAACGAATCCGACCGGGAATAATCCACTGAGTACACCTCTTCAACGTTGCGGCCGATGCAACTGACAAGGGTACGATTTGCTTCTTGTTCAAAGACAGACTACAAGTCTTCAAAATGTATATAAATCTTTGGCCGACAACGAAAAGGACAGCCAGTCAATCCAATTCAAATCATCGCTCGTTCTCATTCATTACTTCTACGTCCAAAAGAACACCATGTCGCCCAAGTCGAATCCCCATGTTCTCATCATCGGTGCCGGGCTAAGCGGCCTCACACTTGCTCAGATACTCCGCAAGAACAACATCTCTTTCTCCATCTTTGAAAGGGACAGTAGAGCCGATGCTAGAGCTCAAGGATGGGCCATCGCCTTACACGGCCCTCTACTAGCTGAACTATCGGCGTCGATGCCCGCAGACCTTGGCCCCATCGAACAAACCAACCATCTGAGCCCTCTCGACCATATCCCGGCACAGTTCGTATTCTACGACGTCAGCAAGCCCTCGTGGCGAGTTGGTGTCACGGACGATGAGACTGGGAAAATTGTTCGTGCCAACCGTCAGCGTCTCCGTGACTGGCTTCTACAACATCTGCCGGTGCAGTTCAATAAACGTCTAGTACGACTCGAGGAGCAAGACGACAAGGTGGTGGCACACTTTGAAGATGGAAGCTCGGAGACCGGAAACATCCTTGTTGGGGCTGAGGGAAATCGGAGCTTGGTGCGTCGGCACATCTTGGGCGGGCAAGATGTCATGACGCCGCTCCCTGTGGGTTCGTTGGTTGGCGAAATTGAACTCGAGGTTGATGAAATGAAGCATCAGCTTGAACTGGGTCATTCTGCCTACATTGTCTTGGACTCATCGTCCGAGAACCGATGGCAAGCAAGCCTTTTCGCCGCCATGAACAAGATCAGCCCGGATAAGAAGACGGGGTACTTCTACTTCATTCTTCACTGGATCGACCAGGAAGCTGCCAAGAGCACAGAAGAGAAGCCATTTTGGACCGTTACCGCCTCACGAGAGGAGTTGATGGCATTCGCGAAAGAAAACACGAAGAATTATCCCGACAGTCTGCGCGTGTTAGTCGACAAGGTGCCTGTTGAGAGATACAAGAAGCCGGGGATTGTGCTTCAAAGTGTGCAATTGACAGTCGATCAACTGCCTGCTGGCAGGATCACTCTGGCCGGGGATGCCGCTCACTCGATGACGCCATGTAAGTATGCAATCATGGATTGAAGGGAAGTCAAAGCTAATCCAATCCCCATAGTCCGAGGAGAGGCCGGTGTTTGTGCACTGACAGATGGCTTGAGGCTGGGCGACGCCATCACAAGCATCCACAACGCTGGGGGACAGGGTCCCGATGTGGTGAAGTACATCGGCGAGTATCGCGACGACATGATTGCCAGAGGAGCAAGAGCTATCAGTGTTTCCAATCCGGTGCTGGAGGATCATTCCAAAGACGCTGAATATGAGTTTTACACGTGTGGAAAGAAGGTCTTGCCGCTCTCTGAAGAGACTATCACCATTTGATGTCTAATTACCACTCCCGTCTATATTTTTCCTTCTCTATTAGTCTTCTATTCAGATTTCCTCTCACTAGACCTCACATACATGAGTCGTAAAACGCCTTGTTTCAAATCCATCGTCAAGTTTGTGTCTTACTTTGGCCATGTATCCTGCATTTATCGGCATGTTTTGATGAGATGATAGAATGTTACACTACTTAAGCATTTTATTCCATTAGTACAGTACACTCAGCACAAGACTTCCCCCATTGTCACAATAATCAAGATAGAACAAAGGTAGTTTACCCGCAGATCCTGAATGTGCTATCTTGTAATAATAGGCAGGCAGGACTGAGAGGGTGTCAACAGCATGGTGTTACATATCATCCAGCCGAGCTCCCGCCTGCTTGTTATTTGAAGCGCATGAAAAACGGAAGGAGTGGTTTCACTGTTGTAACTCTTTGTTCAATTCAACCGTGGTGTTAAGGCACCACAAGGAGCCTAAGTAGCGGGTGCTTGCCGCAACTATTTTGTCCCCCTCAGATAAGAGTTGGAGATACGACCTGCAACTCTGCGGCAAGTGGGAGCGCTATAGGCACATAATCAAGGTGACCCTAATGCTAGCTGGATACTTCATTCAGGGCAGTTGGCCACATTGGAAGACCCAGGACCGTTTCTCGTGCAAGACTGTCCTTCCTTCCCGTCACAGCTGCCTGAAGAGCAAAACAAGCGGACGCCGCTGATGTTCTCCTGACATTCTCCCTTGGCCGTGCATTTGCCCTCCTGAGCCTATTTGACGATCCGACACGCAGATTAGTGGACCGATTTAGAGAAATGGGGCTGGTTTGGCGACATACCAGAGCAGTGGTTGCAAAACCAAGCACCGCAGCGATGAGAAGCTTGTTGACCTGCATTTTGATGTCTGATTAGGCGGAGTGGTGATGCGGGTAGTTAACGTTAGCCGCTGCGGTGCTCGGGAATTCCAGTGGGTTCTTATATGCTCTGTTGACGAGGAACATGATCTGCATTGCGAGAGAGTTACAGCTCGGAAAGTATGGACGGCTTTGTGTTTGAGGCTTTGATCACTCTGGTGTACCACTCAATCTATTTCAGACACGACCACCTGGTTAGAGTTCATAAATATTGGAGCATAGCCACAGACCTTCATTCCCGACGAAATAGACAACTCGTTGATCACCCAGTTTTTCGAGCCTAAGGAGGAAGCAAATTTTGATTACCTTTCAGTTATTACAATACTGAATCCCGGACGAAGCATTAGTAGTTACATCACAGCTAATCACTTAACATAACCAGCGTAAACCTTCGCAGCCCAAGCTTTCTCTTATGACTAGCTGTACTCTATAGAACTCTGCCGCCATCAATGCTCCCGTGTTCAACAAATGTGTAAGACTCTAGAACAGAGCTGCTAACACCAGTCACGAGATTCACATTCGATACCCATAGCGAGACTTCCCTCTTGCAGGAATCGTCTCCAACAAACTTTTGACCCACTCTCAAAAGGTAAACAACCCGAACCTTCTTCAACTGCTTGAGGAAAATACCGTGCATCTTTTTGATCAATCTCTTCCACCACTCCTTCGGATACGTAGCACGCAGGTTGTCGGCAATCAGCATTACATCGTCCTGTAGCCGATAGACACGCCAGTCTCCCGAACCCACGCTATCATTCGTAAAGAAGCCTGTAGGGGGTACAGGGATGCTACCGGGGCCTTTCGAGCCTCTGACTGAGCCGAAGTCGTGTCCAACAGTTGTCTTGATGAGCATGACCGAAATTCTCTGTGCAGTGGTGAACGGAACGATTGAGCTTCTCTCGAGGCGAGGAGGCTCAATAGTGTCTATCTCTTGTGCCTGCAGTGAATAGATCAGCAAGAAGGTTTCTCCTCGGGAACTAAGTTGGCCTGGACGATGAGATTCGGGAAAACAGTGTTCAAGAATAGTAAGATATCGATAAACGAGGAAACTGAAACCATACCTTAGATCCATGCTGGTAAAGCACAAGCCGGGACTTGTGCAGAGAACGCAACAGCTCAATCTGACGATCCATGCTAGCCGCCGCGATGTACGCCTTCATGAAAACCAGCTCGATAATGGCGATACTCCGCAGTGTCACATAATCCTTCAGCCTCATAGTCGTCGAACTCTTCAACACCACCGCAACATAAATGAGCGAGAAGAAGTTGACAAACGGCGTATCAGACCACACAAACCGCCCCGCTCGTCGCAGAGCGAGGATAAACCGCAACCAGCTTCGACGGCATGAGAAGACAGACACGACGAAGCAGAAGCCAAATGTACAGGCGACGAAGACGTTGAGAACCATGTCGGACAGGAAGAGGTTCATGGCGATGGCGGAGGCAAGTGATGCGCTCAGGAGGAGAAGGCCCGTGTTTGTGAAGTACAGCTCGGCGAGGTCGCCATCATTGTCGTTGGAGAGAATTGAGGTGTACCCGTCTAGGAGAACGGAGCGATAGTTTGAAGTTCCAGGTTGAGTCTTGCGGAGGAAGGGCGCCAGCCTGATAACGATCGTAACGAGATTGAGAAGTTCTTTAATGAGAACGGTCAGGCAACTGTGCAGAAGCAAAGCGCTCGCGAAGTTGATATCTTCATCCCAGGTAACCATATCGTCTTGGTTTAGAATTGCTGTTATCGCGAGGTTGAGAGATAGAAGGAGTGAGACCAGGCTGGATGACGATGATGATGAGCAGCAGGCTGCCTAAAGCCGAGGGATTCCCATCCTTGCACAGCCTGCCTCGAAGCGAATAGATGAGGCGTCACTCTAAGACACATTTGTGAGCTTCTACGTTCACTGTTGTTCCTCTTGGCTGAAGTAAGGAAGTCCGAAGTTGGTGAGGATAGTTTAAGTGTATGCTCTTGGGAATTGAAACCCATACAATCTGACAAGAAGAGGATGGCAACCACTTCATAATCATGACTTGAAGGTTTTTCTCGTCTGTCTTAACGTTTCAGCTGGCTTGTCTTCACGAATTCACATGAGTGAGCCCCATTGCAGACAGAATCTCGCCTGCAACCTACATATTTTCGTTTCCGGAAGACATTGAGACCTCCACAACCCCGGCAGTTCAACGTGTCTCTGCTGTATCTGGCTCTAGAACGCACTGAATCTCCCATCCCCAGTCTTGTAGCCTTTTCCCCATCATTTGATTTGAACCCTTTGGCTAATCAATGCATGGTAGGATGAACCTACTGTGTGAATGAACTTCGGTTTTCCGCTCGAGGCGATCTGGGAGCAACTGCATTATAGAGCTCTTATCGCCGTTGCCTTGCGCGTCTACTACTTTCCGAAGTGGATCGACGTCTTGTTGCACATAGTCAATGAAAAAAAAGGAATAGAACGTCTAAGTGGTCATTGGCATTGTGTCAGGTTCGCTCTGCGGTTTGTTTGTCATTGACTCGACAGCCATGTATAGTTGAGTATTTCAGAAAAGGAACCCACTGATGCATCATCTCTATGTGATGAACGTAGGCTAGCTTTCTGTTCAGGGAACGGAACGACCAGCTTCGTTGCACCGCATCGAAGCTCATGTGTTAGAGTTTCGAGGCCTTTTCTCTGAGAGCGCTCGGTGGTAATACACATAAACACTGGGAAAGGTAACCAAATCATCGTGCATCCATGTCAGGTGCAGCAGTCAACGTCTAGAAACAAATGGACGAATCGCAATATGTTTCTCAAGCAACGTCATTTTGCAAGTCGGTTTGGATTCGTTTCTTATCACCTTCCCTAACGAACAATCCTTGCAATGGGGTGCTAATCAACCCCTCCGTCAATCTATCTTAATGAGAATACGAAGTTTTCGAAAAGCTTGGCAAAGTGGCTACGCGTGTGCCATCATCCCCTATCAGCCCATGTTGAATCTTTATTCGACTTCCAAAATAAACATCGCCACTCACTGAGAGAACCTGCCCTCGCCGGACTCAAAACAGTCTTTACTGTCGCAGTAACCGGACCAAAGCCGTCGCGATGCTGTTTTCTCTGCTCTTGAGTGCCTCACTGGCACAGGCATCCCTGTACTCCCTAACTTCCTTTTGCGGAACTCCGGACCCCAGCGACAAACAAATCGCAAGATCGCTAGCAGGCAGAGACGTGGGCAGCAGCAGGAGCAGCCTCCCAGCAGCCAACATTTCCGTCCCAGTCTATCTCCATTCAATCGCCCCCAATCAAACGGCTCTCTTGAGTGTAAGAGCATCTTTCTAGTATGTTGATGAAGCATGCCGGGCTAGACTGACCTACGCCCCAGCAAGCCACCCTCGAAGCGCAATTCCAAATCCTACGCGACACCTTCACCAAATACGGCATCACAATGACCCTAAGCGGCACCTCGCGCACCGTAAACGCAAGCTGGTCAACAGTCACAAACCCAACCGACGAACTCGCTATGAAATCCGCGCTCCGCAAAGGCACCTACCAAGCCCTCAACATCTACGTGCAAGCCATCCACCCGACCCTAGGCCGCTGCTTCTACCCGGAAGCCGACGCCTTCCCCGGGTCCGAGACGTTCATCCTGGACGGGTGCCAGATCGACGCCAACACGGTCCCCGGCGCGGACTCGCCTACGGGGAACGATCGCGGGTACATGGCGGTCCACGAGGTCGGACACTGGTTCGGGCTGCCGCATACTTTCCAGGGAGGATGTACCGGGACGGACTATGTGGATGATACGCCCGCGCAGGCTACGCCGTCTTGGAATTGTACGGTTGGGCAGGATACGTGTCCCGGTTTGCCGGGCGTGGATCCTCTCTACAACTTTATGAACTATCAAGCAGAGTAAGTCTTGTCACCTGGAGATATGTCGGCCAAGTTGCGCGGTGGACTGACGAGATCTGTAGTAACTGTTGGAACGAGTTTACGCCTGGACAAGTGCAGCGAATGCATGAGCAGTGGACGACGTTTAGGGCGAACAGCACAGTCTCAAAGTGAAAAGGCTATCCTTCAGCCCTACACTTGGAAGAACATCAGCTTAATTAGATACATCTCGCACTTGATTCGATGCTTGCATATCCCCACGGACCTGCCACGGATGCACTTCTTGAGGGGAATCGCGAGTATCCGCGGCATCATGTCAACCTCGACGACGCGCCATCAGGTCGTCCGCAAGCCAAAAAAATCATCCGAAAGCACTCTTAGACTAAAAAGAATTCCAAAGATGGTGCAAAAAGGCAAAAGAAACTCCTCGACGGGGAATTGAACCCCGGTCCCCTGCGAATCGTGGGATTGCCCCGGTGACAAGCAGATATCCTCACCACTAGACTATCGGGGATTGGTGGATGTGGGCATCCAGTGATAGTTGGTTGGGTGGGGAGGCGACGAGCTGTTATATATAGTGTAGCTAGAGGATGGGCCCACAGGCTTCAGCGCACGAGCATGCAGCGACCTGTCTACCGCCCCTCAGAAATCTTGCGCATGACAGAGGGGTAACGAATTGCTTCCTGATGGATGTAACGGAAACTGCGTTCTCTACTGAAAGCCAATATGGACCCTTCATGGGATTAGACATGCTCTTGGTGTTGTAAACAGGATTATGCATCCCACAACCCTTACCTTTTGCCAATAAGTCCGGTCAGCACACACACCTCATCCTTCAAAAGCCCACCAGTCCCACGACGAGCCAAATATAAATGGCGGGGTTCATGGTAAAGCTCATCTGTCAAGAGAAAGAGGTGGCTTACATCGCCGGAGATGGTGGCCCGCATGCGGCACCTATTGGACCCGTCAAACGCTGCCAAAGAATCAACCATGTATGAGGCGACCGAGGCCCCGACGTGCCTTAGACATTCTCTTGCTCGGTGATTTGGGAGTTCTCATGCAAAGCCAGGCAAGAGTGCCAAACGCATCAAGACTGCCTCGCGGCCATTAACCGGCCGCAATAGCCACGACAGGGAACCTGAAGCCCCTATGACCATCAACCGTCACTGCTCAACTGCGGACCAACAAGTCCAAGCAACTCGGAGTACGCCTCGCCGGTGCAGGTAGAATCAATCATGTGAGAGCCAAACCAGGGTTCAGACTGCCATGCTGGCCACCTTCCTGTTCATCCGGTTCGGCTTCCAACAGTGTCAAGACTATGAAAATCATGAGCAAACATCCGACATCCGCGTCGCTAGCGCCAACACCACGACCGTCGCCTCACCGCATCATGTCCAACGTAGGCGACAAGCGCATTCCACGCCCGACCCTCCTCGTGGCCAAGTAGGCCAAGCAAGCTAAACGGTCAAAGGAACAGAAGAGGACTCCGACTGACAATCGCTAGCGCGATAATGGCAAGCAAGCTCGGCAGACCGCGGCTGTAGGCGGTGTAAGCGAGGTCAATAGCGTGCGCTGGGGAACGATGGACGCTCTGTCGTGATACCTACACTGCAGTAATGCAGCATTGCAGGTAGGTAGTCCAACGTTGGCATGCGACGTAAGCGCCCATGCTCAAAACCATGAACGTGGGTGATTGGCTCGAAGAACGCCATGCGGCCGCCGCGGTCCACTGCCGCGATAGTCGTGAGAGACTGCGAAAATTGGAGAAAGTGCTTTGTCGATTATCTGCAGATGTGCTACGGCAGGCTGTGCCTTAGTCCGCCTGCGTGCTGCTAGAAGCGGGAAGACTTTCTGTCTGTGTGACATGAACTAGCCGTCTGGTGTGCCTGTGAAGAGGGGGTTGGGACCGCAGAATCGCGTGGTGGTTGTGACGACCTCATGGGCGAGCCCCTCTTAAGAAATCGCAGCCATCTGATTCAGAACAATGTATCTCGGAAAGAGTCCGAGCAACGCAGAAGACGTAGAGGAGAGGAAAATACTGTCCAAGTGCCATCGGAGCCGCTTCGGCGTGCAATTTCGGGTTCAGAAAACTGGTGTGCTACTCTGCGCGACCTCATCTGCGCCGCACGTAGCGTCGAGAGCTCTTGTGGAGGGAACATCGGTCTCTGGACAGCTGGCATACCCATCCGTGGTGTATTCGAAGTTCCGGAAAACGGTGAGAAATGCAGGATTGCGGCACGTCTCTCAGCCACGTTTTGAACCTCATTCTTGTAAGTCGAGAACACTGCAGTTTCCAGAAGCTTTGCTGTCAACGCAGGCAGTGCTGTATTTGACAATGTGAATTGGATGCTTGACGTCGATCAGACGGTCACAAACACAAGGTACCGCTCTGTTGGGTCAACCGGCCGGAAGAAAGAAGACCACGGTCCAACGATCCCCCAGCAAAGAAAAAGCTGATTCGGCAGACTGCGCCTCGTTTGTCAAGCCGACTTTCCAAATATGATTGTCTCGAGGGGCTGGCATCAAGATCAATGATTCAGACTCAATTCCGACCTGCCGCCTTCGTCGCTTCAAAGGCACCGCGCAGCACGATGGAACTATTAGGGGTTTCCAAAGTCGCATTCAGTCCCTGTAGTTCAGGAGGTACTGATTGCTATCATTCAAGGATGTGATGCTCGGTTTGATCGCCGACACACTGGCGAAAGTATGGACGAACCCCAAATGTAGGGCTTCGCGAAAAGGGTGATCCTCCGCGTACAAGTGGGTTTGTTGGGTCGTCTGGGGATGAATTCCTGGAGACCAGCAGAGTTGAGCAACAGGGACAGCTGGGAACCTGAAGGGATTCGCAAAGGCTGTGG